AGAGAGAGAATTTTTTTAATATTTATTTTTTAGTTTTCGGCAGACACAACATCTTTGTATGTGGTGCTGAGGATCAAACCCGGGCCGCACGCATGCCAGGTGAGCACGCTACCGCTTGAACCACATCCCCAGCCCAAAAAATCTGACAATTTTGATTTGCAGATGGAGGAACTTGAAGAAACACAAAAGGGCTTTATTTTATGCATTTACACTTGCTACTTTGCTGCGAGCATAACTGAATCTTTTTCATGGGGTTGTTATTTGGGATGGGGTGTTCCTAAGTTGCTGAGGCTGGTCTTCCCTGCACTACTAGGCCTGGCTTAGGATAAATTTTTTTGGTATAGGGATTGAATTCGGGGGCACTCAACTACTGAGCCACATCTGTAGCCCTATTTTGTATTTTTTTTAGAGACAGATTCTCACTGAGTTGCTTAGCACCTTGCCATTGTTGAGGCTGGCTCTGCACTCTCAATCCTCCTGTCTCAGCCTCCTGAGCCACTGGGATTATAGGCATGAGCCACTGTACCCAGCAAGGATAATTTTTTTTGTGGTGCTGGGGATTAGAACTCAGGACCTTGTGCACGTGAGGCAAGAACTCTACCAACTGAGATATATCCCCAGCCCAAGGATAAATTTTAACAGGAAAGCTAGAGTGATATTTTATCCAAGGGAGAGTTAAACAAACAAACGTAAGTTATTAAAACAAACGTAAGTTCACTTTCTTCTTTTTTTAGGTAGTGTGGGAGACTGAAACAGGGTTTTATACATGCTAGTCAAGCAATCTACCACTGGGCTACACTCCCAGGCCTTAAGTTTACTTTTAAGTAATTATCTGTAGTCAAAAATTCTTGTTTGTTTGTGTTTTGTGGCTAGAATGAAGAACTTTCACAAGGTAGGAAAACACTCTACCACCAAGCTACATCTCCAGCCCTTCAACTTCTATTCGGAAAGGATGGGGTACTGGGTAGCACAGATGAGCTACTACAAACTAAAATAAAACTTAATAAAAATATCCTGTGTAATTGTACATCTTCAAATGGTATAGTTAACAGAAATCACTGTCATAAAAAAGCATAAGGAAGGGCTGGGGTTGTAGCTTAGTGGTAGAACACTGCTTAGCATGTGTGAGGCACTGGGTTTAATTCTCAGCACTGCATACAAATAAATGAATAGAATAAAGGTTCATCAGCATCTAATTAAAAAACAACAACAACAACAACAACAACATTAAGGAAACTGGTTATTCATTTGTGGAGAGGGAGTTTGATCCCTAAAAAACCTTTTACACTAAATAAATACTATGTCGGTTACAGTGGTGCATGCCTATAACCCTAGCAGCTAAGGAGACTGAGGCAGGAGGACCACAAGTTCAAAGCCACCCTCAACAACTTATCAAGGCCCTGCTTGAAATAAAAATTTTAAAAAAGGGCTGAGGAATGTGGCTCAGTGATTGAGCACCCCTGGGTTCAATTCCTAGTACCCAAAACAAACAAAAAACCAAATAAATAAAATAAAACAACGAATGTACTAAGAAAACAAGACAACTATACTATTACTGGGGGAAGGCCTTTACATATCACATGAGCCCTATTAAAGGAAAAGCTTAGTACTTTTTTGAGGGGTGGGGAGGATTACCAGGGATTGATTCAACTCGGGGACACTCAACTACTGAACCACATCCCCAGTCCTATTTTGTATTTTATTTAGAGACAGGAAGTTGCTTAGTGCCTCACTTTTGCTGACTTTGGCCTTGAACTTGGGATTCTCCTGCTTCAGCCTCCCGAGTTGCTGGGATTACAGGCTTGCATCACTGGGCCTGGCAAGTTTAGTACTTTTTAACAACATAAAAATTAAAAACTCTTCTATGTCAAAAATTTTGCTAAAAAGAGTAAAAGAATAAATGATGGGGAAAAAAGGTTTATAATGTATCTGACAGGAAAAGGCTAAATAATATACAAATTAAATAAAAAAGATTAGAAATGCAACATAAATATGCACAAAGAGCCTGACTCAGCAAGTCCTTTTCATAAAACGAAATATAAATGGATAATAAATATAATAGTGTACCTCTTCCATTATCAAAGAAATGCAAATTAAAAAAAAGGTAATATTTTGTTAACTTTCTGGTTGGCAAAGAATAAAAAGTTTGACAATACTAGGTATCAGTAAGAATGTGGAAAATAAGGATAAGAACTGTGATAGTAGGAGTGGCAATTGTCACATTGTCACAACTCTGCAAAGGTAACTGGGCACTGACAAAATGAGAGAAACGTGTCTGAGTCTATTCTAAGAATAAAAGAAAGTTCTTGGGCCAGGTTGGAGTCAGAGGTAGAGTATTTGCCCAGCATACACAAGGACCTAGGTTCAATCCCTAGCACTACAAAAATAAATAATCAGAAGTATTTAAAAAATATTTTCAGACATGAAGGAATATATGTATACTTTCACATACATATATTTGAAAATATATAAATATATATAATACACACATACACACACACACATACTCTCACACATTTGGCAGTACTGAGGATTGAACCTGCATGAATGAATGCATTGCTAGCCCTTTTTATTTTTTATTCTGAGACAATGTTTCAAAAGTTGCTAAGACTGTCTCACACTTGTGATCCTGCTGACTTAACTTCCTGAGTTACAGATATGTACCACGATGTCTAGCAGTAAGAAAATGACTGGAGAGTCTCATAAGTAAAAATCAGGAAATTAAGATAAATTTGTGTATAGAATTGTGGATCTAAAAATCCACAAAGAACCTGACAAAGAAAATTCAGAGTTCCTACTCCAACTCCAGTGGTCTCTGTATATGGTGAAGGAAGAGATACAATAGTCTCCCTAATCTTGGAGACAAGGAAAAATCAGTTACTGATTTCCAGAGGCTGAGACTGCATACAACCTGTCTGAAAAAATTAAAAGTTATCTGACCTGGCTTAGGGTTGGCGGGTGTATTCCAGGAAGCGTCATGGTAGCATTTTCGCTACACTTCAAATAAAGGAAATACAAATACTGGAGAAATAGCTGGGTAGAAAAGAAAAAAAGGCAAGTTACCACCTTGGTAAAAAATTTTCTATAGACGTAAAGAATTTTCAGAGGCTGTCCAATCAAATCATATATCACACAAATAAACTAGATATCTGGGGCCAAAAAAATAAATAAAATAATATCCCTGTCATCACTGAGGAACTCATTTAGTTTAGGACTAATGGGTTTATTTCGTTTATAAATAACAGGCAGAGAACAAGAGAATTCTTCTTTAAACAATTCTTCTTAGACTCATTTATAACTTAGATGGCTTAATGTGATTTTTCAGGCTTGGTACAAATAAAATGCCAAGGTCTATCACCCCCAAATCACTCTATTCCCTAGGCACAATTCTTTCACCATGAAATAATTTGATAACCTTTAGAATGTCCTAACTGCTGGGCAAAGTTAAGCAGAACAACTTAAACCAGAAATTAAATTGTATGGGACTTGTATGTACACTTACAGTGATATGCTGTGCAGGGATGTCCTTCAAGTGAGGCAGAAGAAATACCTCACTGTATGCTGAATGAAGAATTGCATTTCTACTTAGGACTAAAGGAAAGCATCTTACTTCAACAAATAAAGGGTATAAATTCAAGCAATTCCCTTCTTAAATTTATACAAAAATATTACTTATCTAATCTAGAAAAGATTCACCACCAAACATTCTCCTAGTTTAGAGATCATTTGGAATACTTCATTAATATAAATACTAGTTTTTAGAACTGAGCTTCTAATTCAGTATGGTTTCTTGTCCGCCCCCCCTCCCCCACCCCGCTTTACATTACTGAGGATTGAACCTTGGAGAGTTTTATCCCTAGCCCTTTTAAAACTATTTTGAGACAGGGTCTCACTAAGTTGCTTAGGTAGCTTACGACTGTATCCCTAGAAAGAGATTGTGTAAGGGAAACTTGTTTCAAAGGATACAATAGAGCTGCTCTTTTTGGCGTAACAGGGCATGAGGTGGTCTCCTCTGCTGCATTCTGAGGCTTTTCATTTACCTTTTGATTAAAGTTACCGCAGTTACCATTTTCAGGACTAAAGCCATTTTGAAGAATTTCAGGTTGCTCTTCCATTTTCTCATCTTGTTTGGTATCACTATAATCAAAAACTGACTCCATATTGATATTAATTTCTTGAAGACTGTCATCACCAATGCTATGTTAATTGAAAGCAAGAGGTTAATTCTTATCATTACTTGAACATTTGGAAGAAAATTCATTTTCTTTCTTTTTTTGGTACCGGGGATTGAACCTACAAATGTAGGGCTATATCCTCAGCCCTTTTTATTTTTTACTCTCATTTTTTTGTGGTGTGGGGATTGAACCAAAGGCCTTGTGCATGTGAGGCAAGTACTCTGCCACCAACTGAGCTATATCCTCAGGATCTTATTTTCTACTTTGAGTCAGGGTCTTACTAAGTTGTTTGGGGTCTTGCTAAGTTGCTGAGGGTAGCCTCAAATTTGTGATCTTCCTGCCTCAGTTTCCCAAAACTGGGATTAAAGGCGTGAACTACCACGATGGGCTTTATTTTTGAGATAAAGTCTCTCTAACGCAGCTTAAGGCCTCACTAAATTGCTGAGGCTGGCCTTGAACATATGATCTTCCTGTCTTAGCCTGCTAAGCTACTAGGATTATAGCATGTGTCACCACACCTGGTTAGCAAATTAATTTCCTAAGGATTCCAAATCTTAGAAACCAAATAATGTAAGAGATTTAAAATGTACTGAAGAAAAAGACCACTAGATCTTAACTTACCTCAAGAAAATTTTTAAGCAAGCGCAGGTGACTGACTCAGGAATATCAGGAAACTGGTGCAGACAAAGTTGTAACATCTGTACATCTGTTTTTTCTAAGGCGATTTCCATTAAGCCAGAACATAAGCTAAGAAAAAAAAAAAGAATTAAAATAATTTTTATATGTTAAGAAAAACCTCAATTATAAAAAACAAAGTTAAAAGAGTAATACATATAAAGTGTATATCAATACCTACCTGTAGGAAAGTGTGTGTGTTTGGATAAGCTGTATGAGACAGTTCCTGGGATAAAATGATGGTTCTGCTTTACATCTTCCCAGAAGTCCTGTTACTATGTCCCCAATTTGTGTATGAAAGTCAGGTGTCCACTTGGCAGCCAAAAATTTACGTAGTTCTACTTCAATGTGTTTTTCTGAATCTTTCTGAAAGGGCAGAATTGAAGAGTTTGGCCTTGCACAATAACAAATGTCGCTCTGAACTTAAAATTTACTAGCAAAACATTTTTTTTCAAATCACCAACAGTATTCATGCATTCCTATGAAAAGAACTGACACTACAATTTACTACAAAAAGCTGCAAAGAGCCAGTCACAATGGCACATGCCTGTAATCCCAGTGATTAGGAAGGCTGAGACAAGAGGATTGCAAATTCAAAGCTAGCCTCAGCAATGGTGAGGCACTAAGCAACTCGTGAGACCCTCTCAATAAAATATAAAATAGGGCCGAGATGTGGCTCAGTAGTTGAGTGCCCCTGAATTCAATCCCTGGTACCAAAAAAAAATTCAAGGGTTTAGAAATCTAAATCTTTATAAGGCTAAATTATGAACAATCAATAAAAAGTTCAATGAGAAACTCATGAGGACAATACTATAACACTAATGTAATAAGATGATAGTGAAGAGGCAAATAAGACAAAGCTTTCAATCAACTCTCTCAACCTTAAGATATAATAACAAATTTAGCTATAGCTATAAAAATGTTTAATAAAAATGGTAGAATGGATGGGTATGGCTGAGGCAGAATGACTGTAAGTTCAAACCCAGCCTAAGCAACATAGCAAAACTCTGTTTCAAAATAAAAAATAAAAAGGGCTTGGGATGTGGTTCAGTGTTTAGCCTTGGGTTCAATCCCTGGTACCAAAGAACAAAACCAAAAACACTCCATCATATTGGTATAGGCACCAACTTCCATAACGAGACACCTAAAGCTCAAGAAAAAAAAAAAAAAAGAAACAATCAGTAAGTGGGATAGCATCAAATCAAGAAGCTTCTTTAGAGCAAAGGAAACAAGAACATAAAGAAAAATCTAAAGAATGGAAGAAAATCATAGAAAGCTATTCCTTCAACAGGGGATTAATATCCAGAATATATAAAGAACTCAAAAAACTTACCTCAAACAAACAACAACAAAAACAAATAACTCAATCAATAAATGAGCAAAAGAACTAAACAGACATTTCCCAAAAGAAAAAAATGGGTGGTGTGGTGCCACACACCTATAATCCCAGCAACTTGAGAGGATGAGGCAGGAGGATCACAATACCACAGAAGTGTAAAAAAAGAGGTGGAATGAAGAGTAGATGGAATTTTTTTTTTAAACTATTTGGGTTGATTTTTCATATTTCCAGTATTTTTTATTTACCTTGATGGTTGATAGAAGTTGTTCTGATACTGGAACTTCTGGCTGTAAACTCACTTCAAGTTTTTTCCTCCTTAACTGGAAATTAAGTAAACTGATTAGGATCTCAATCACACAGTGTCAAAAATAAACTCTGTTATAGGGAATAGTGGTTTTATTTTAGCTTTGAAATAAAGTATGTGAAGATTATCTGTTTTCCTTAACATTTTTTTTTCAATAACTAAACTTACAATTCTCCTTGACTGCTCTGAGTTCTGTGATCCAAGTCCATATCCCTGAGATGTTTCCCAGTTAACAAAATGGGGTATGGTGTGAGTGCCTAAGAAAACATAAAATATAAAATTTCAACAATATTTTCACCTACAGTTATTCATCCAACCAACCAAAGAACACTAAACAACAACCACTTGTGCAATTTAAGAGAGGTTTTTCAGCCAGGCACAGTGGCACATGCCTGTAATCCCAGAGACTTGGGAGGTTGAGATGGGAGGATTGCAAGTTCAAAGTCAGCCTCAGCAACTTAGCAAGTCTTTAAGCAACTCAGTGAGAACTATCTCAAAATAAAAAATAAAAAAAGACTGGGGAGGGGCTGGGATTGTGGCTCAGTGGCAGAGTACTTGCCTTGCAAGTATGAGGCTTTGGGTTCGATCTTCAACACCACATACAAATACATAAATAAAATAAAGATATTTTGTCTTTCTACAACTAAAAAAAATAATAAATAATAAAATATCAATCCTGGTGCCAAAAAAAAAAAAAGAAAGAGAGAGAGAGAGGTTTTTAAGTCCATGTAATTCTACTAACAATCTCAAATCAGTAAAGTATAGTACACTTAAAGGGTATATGCCTACACTAGCAACATTAAGCTACCAGATGAGGCTGATGGCTGAAAGTAAACAAGGGAGTGAAATGGTATTGCTGTGAGGAATATTTCCTCTCCCACAGGCTCTAAAAGTCAGAAAAACATTGGAATTAAAAAGTGTGTCAGCTAGGTATGGTGGGTACATGTGATAATCCCAGAGGAGTGGGAGGTTAAGGCAGGATGATCATGAGTTCAAAGTCAGCCTCAGAATCTAGCAAGGCCCTAAGCAACTTAGTGAGACCCTGTCTCTAAATAAACTATTTAAAAAATAAATGAAGGAAGGAAGGAAGGAAGAAAGGGAGGGAAGGATGGACGGGCTGGAGATGTGGCTCAGTGGTTAAGTGCCCCTGGGTTCATTCCCTAGTACAAAAAAAAAAAAAAAAAGAGAGAGAGAGAGAGAGAGTATGTCTCTTCAGTCTGTAGCAGTACTTGCAATGTGGACCATTCCCACAGTAGTTGCCTTGGTCAAGGAAGTTTCAATGAACAGCAGCAAATTGCAACATTAAAAATAAGCTATATGGAAGCTGGAGTTGTAGCTCAGTGGTAGCATGTGTGAGGCACTGGGTTCAATCTTCAGTACCACATAAAAATAAATAAATAAAACAAAGGTATTGTATCCATCTATAACTTAAAAAGAGAAAGAAAGAAAACAGGCTATGTGTACTGGGGATATAGCTCAGTGGCACAGCACTGACCTAGTAAGTTTGAGACCCTGGGTTCAATACCCAGGTATCATATACACATATAAAAAGAATAAACTCAGTCAATAAGAAGTTATGGATATCTACATATGAAAATGGGAGTTAATAAGATGTTTTTATTAATAAAATGTGTACACACACACATATATAAGTAAGTTTTTACCTGCATCTTGACTATGCTTGAGTTTTCCAAGAGCACCAGCTAATGATGATACTTCACACTTATATGGAATCACAGTTAGAACTTTTCCATATAGCATAAACAAATTTTCACCATAATACCAGAGCTGCAAAAACAGTAATCAAAACTATAAGCAAATTTTGTTCTAATATCTAACGCAATAAAGCCTTATAACTTATTATATTATCTTACTTATAAATTATCTCAGTAAAACACAAGGCAAAGACAATAAACTTTTCAGATGGTATTTTTTTTTTAAGTGACATATTGTGCTTATTTTCTTAAAATATTAATTTTTTTGGTGTAGATGGACACAACACAATGCCTTTATTTTTATGTAGTGCTGAGCATCGAACCAGGGTCTCGCCCATGCAAGGCAAGTGCTCTACTGTTGAGCCACAATACCAGCCTTTAGATGGTATTTTTCTTTTTTTTTTTAGTTACACATGAACACAATATATTTATTTTATTTTTATGTGGTACTTAGGATTGAACCCAGGCCTCACATCTGTGAGGCAAGCGCTCTGCCACTAAACCACTACCCCAGCCCTAAATGGTATTTTTAAATCAGAAAAATCAGACGAATATATACATTTAAAATAACTGAGCTGGCTGTGGTGATGCATTTCTATAATTCTAGAAACTTGGGAAGCACTGTAAGTTGGCGACCACCCTCAGCAATAGTGAGACCCTGTTTCAAAACAAACAAATAACTGAATTGTTCAAAATTAACAGTCACTATTAAATATTTATTAATACGATAATTTCCAAGGTTACTGTAATACAAAATGTAATAATGTATTAAGTGAAAGATATAGAATTGAACACTTTATATCTTTTTTTTAAATATTTTTTTTTTGAGAGAGAGAGAGAACTTTTAATATTTATTTTTTATTTTTTGGTGGACACAACGTTTGTTTGTATATGGTGCTGAGGATCGAACCCGGGCTGCACGCATGCCAGGCAAGCGTGCTACCACTTGAGCCACATCCCCAGCCCCACTTTATATCTTATGATTTCAATTTTTAAAAAAGTTTTTTTGGTTGTAGAGCTGTTAGCTGTTGGTAGAGTGCTTGCCTTGAATGCACAAGGCCCTGGGTTCAATCCCCAGCACCACACACACACACACACACAGTTTTTTTGGTTGTTGATGGACCTTTATTTCATTCATTTATTTATATGTAGTGCTGAGAATCAAACCCAGTGCCTCACACATGTGATGTAAGCATTCTACCAGTGAGCTAAGACCCTATGACTTCAATTTTAAGATAGGTACATGAACAAAAAAATTTGACATAAATGAAACAAGTTTGTTAGAATAGTGGAATTGCAAGTAGTTAATTTTGTTAAAATTACCAATAATATCTTGTTGCTCTAAATATTTTGTTTGCATGTGAACATATACTTTCTAAATAATATTTATTCATTACCTTTGGTAAGTATAGAAAGTACAACAGAATACAAAATAGACAAGGACCTTGTTTCAGGAAGTCTGGTCAACTTTAATTATTTAAGTAATTCCATGACAACATTTACCATATAACCTAAAAGACGAATTTCCTAGGAAAATAACAACTTCAGGTGTAGTTCAAAATTAAAAAAAAAAAAGGGCAGGGGATGTGGCTCAAGCAGTAGCACACTCGCCTGGCATGCGTGCGGCCCGGGTTCTATCCTCAGCACCACATACCAACAAAGATGTTGTGTCCGCCGAGAACTAAAAAAAAATAAATATGAAAAATTCTCTCTCTCTCTAAAAAAAAGAAAAAAAAAGAGTAGCTAAAAACAGAAGTTATTGTATTAACTAGCTAATTCATCTCCTTTGATGTATTAGTAGCTATAATTGAGTCTTAAAAATGATGAACAGGGGCTGAGGTTGTGGCTCAGCAGTAGAGCACTTGCCTCGTACGTGCGAGACCCTGGGTTCGATCCTCAGCATCATATAAAAATACATAAGTGAAATAAAGGTATTGTGTCCAACTACAACTAAAAAATAAATGTTAAAAAAAATATATGATGAACAAGGGCTGGGGTTGTGGCTCCATGGTACAGCACTCACCTCACACATGTGAGGCCTGAGTTTGATCCTCAGCACCACAAAAAAATAAATATATGTATAAAAAAATAAAAATAAAAATGATGAACATATAAAAACTATTAAAACAACAGCCAAATAAAACATAATTCAGGCAGAAAATAAATTTAAATATATTTTAGATCTAAAGAGAGTTCTTCTCTTCCAGAATATTTGTCAGATACAAAAATAAGTAAATTTGAAAAAGTCCTTGTGAAAAACTTACTTGACCACTGGTCCCTTGTGGTAATTCTTTTGAAGTCTGCAGGGTTTGAAATTTTATGTTCCATATGGAGAGGCAGTCTATAAAATAAGACATATAAACTAGATATAGTCAGAGTGTAAATAGAGAATATACTAGGGCAAGGTAATCATGAGTAGTTAATCATGAGTAGTTAATTTTGTTAAGGAGTCATAGATAAGTATATAAGTTTTGTTTTATTAAGTATGCAAGTGGGTAATAAAGAGTGATTGCCAGGCTGGGGATATAGCTTAGTTGGTAGAGTGCTTGCCTAGCATGCACAAGGATCTGGGTTCAATCCTTAGCACCACAAAAAAGGGTGACTCCCACAGAAACTTAAGTGGACCAGAAAGAAGGATGAGCTCTGAAGAACGCAGGTCTTAATGGTTGGTTATAAATCCGTTACAAAAAAAAAAAAAAAGCCCAAGACAGTGTGCATGCCTATAAGCCCAGTAGCTTCAGAGGCTGTGGATTATGAGTTCAAAGCTAGTTTCAGCAACTCAGAGAGATCCCAAACGACTCAGCGAGACCCTTAAAAAATAATAATAATAATACAGGGGCTGGGCTGGAAATGTGGCTCAGTGGTTAAGAGCCCCTCAGTTGAATCTCCAATACCAAAAACAAAACAAAACAAATAAACTACAACAACAACAACAAAAAACAAAGACAAGGATCAGATGGTTTCACTGATGAATCCTATCAAACATTTAAAGAATTAACATCAAACTCTCGAAATACAAAAGAAGAGGAAACACCTCCTCACTCATTCCATGAGGCCCATATTACCCGGAAACTAAAGCCAAAGACACCACACAAAAAAACTACAGATCAATATCCCTTATGAGTTTGGATACAAAAAAATTTCAACAAAATACCAATAAAATGAATTTGACAACATGGTGAAATTTATGACCAAATGAGGTTTATTCCAGGGATGCAAGGTGGGTTCAACATAATAAAATCAACAAGGGTAGTATACCACATTAGTACAACAGAGGAAAAAACCACATGATCATGTCAGTGTGCAAAAAAATGCAGCTGATAATCCAATACTCTTTCATAATAAAAACACTCAGAAAACTAGAAATAGAAAGGGATTTCAACAATAAGATAACAGGTATTTGTAAAATATCCATGGCTATCTCATACTCAATGGTCAAAGACTGAAGACTTTCTCTTTAAGATATGGAACAAGACAAGGACTCCCCTTTGCCTATGCTACTCAATCCTATAGTAGAAGTTCCATGGATTAATTAAAAAGAAAAAAGCATCCAAATTTCAAATGAAGCAAACTTATTATATTTACAGTTGACATGATCCTGTATAGTAAAAAATGCCAAAAACTATACCCGGATACACACAAAGACTAGCATTAATAAATGCATTCTGCAAATTTTAAGGTAGAAGATCAACACACAAACTTCAGTTGTGTTTCTGTACAATAGAAGTGAAAAATTTAAAAATGAAAATGTCAAGGGGTTGGGGACATAAAAGTGCTTGCTTAATTAGCATGAGGTTTGAGTTCTACTGCCACCCAAAAAAATGGATTCCATTTACATTAATATCCAAAATAAAAAATTTAGCTAAGGAGGTGAATGATAAGGAAAACATAAACAGCTGGACAGACATCCAGTGTTTATGAACTGGAAGACTTAACGTTGCCAAGACGATAATACTGCACAAAGCAATCTACAGATTCAATTTAATACCTATCAAAATTATAACTGTTTATTTTTTTGCAGAAATGGAAAAGCCTAACCAGGTGGAATCTATAATCCCAATTACTCAAGAAGCTGAGGTAGGATCATAAATTTGAGGCCAGCCTGGGCAATTTAGTGAGACTCTCAAAATGAAAACAAAAAGGTCCAGGGATGTAGCTCAGTGGCACAGCATTAGCCTAGCAGCTTGAAATACAGCCCCAATCCCAGTATGGAAAAAAAAAGAAAGAAATGGGAAAACCAATCCTGAAACTCATAAGGAACTGCCAGCCAAACAATCCTGAAAGAAAGGGGGAAAAAAAACCACAACACAAAACAAAACAAAATGTAAAAGTAGCTAAAACAATCCTTAAAAAGAATGAAGTTGGAGAACTCATATTTTCTGATCTTAAGATTTACTAGGGGGCTGGGGTTGTGGCTCAGTGGTAGAGTGCTCACCTAGCATGCTTGAGGCACTGAGTTTGATACTCAGCACCACATAGATGTAAAATAAAGATATTGTGTCCACTTAAAATAAAAAAAAGACTTACTGTAGGCTGGGCACAATGGCAAATGCCTGTAATCCCTGGGGCTTGGGAGGCTGAGGCAGGAGGATAGAGAGTTCAAAGCCAGCCTCAGCAAAAAGCGAGGCGCTAAGAACTCAGTGAGACCCTCTCCAAATAAAATACAAAAACAGGGCTAGGAATGTGGCTCAGTGAGTGAGTGTCTCTGAATTCAATCCCCACTACCAAAAAGAAAAAAAAAAAAAAAGATTTATTGTAAACTTGCATAAACAGTACTAAATAGAACAGTCATCTATAGCCAAATGATTTTTCAAAAAGGGTGCCAAGACCATTCAAATGATGCTGGGATGGCTGATTAACCTCATGCACAGGAATGAAGTTGGACTCTTAGTTCATGCTGTACACAAAAATTAACTGAAAATGGATCAATAACAAATATAAAAGCTGAAATCACTGCGGGGCGCGATGAAGCGTATCTGTAATCCCAGTGGCTTGGGAGGCTGAGGCAGAAGGATCGTGGGTTCAAAGCCAGACTTAGCAAAGGTGAGCTGCTAAGCAACTCAGTGAGACCCTGTCTCTAAATAAAATACAAAATAGGGCTGGAGATGTGGCTCAGTGGTTGAGTACCCCTGAATTCAATCCCCAGTATAAAAACAAAACAACAACAACAACAAAAAATCCCCAAAAAACTAAAAATCATAAAACTCAGAAGAAAAAACTGGGTTAATCTTCATGACCTTGGATTTGACAATGTATTCTTAGATATGACAACAAAATAACATGCAACAAAAGAAAAATATTGATAAATTGGATTTCATCAAAATTAGAAACATTAGTGCTGCAAAGGACATTATCAAGAAAGTAAGTAAAAAAAACAATCTACAGAATGGAAAAAAAAGTATGTGGAAATCACATGTCTTGATAAGGGGCATTATATATAAAGAACTCTTACAAATGAACAAAAAGACAAATTACTCAATTAAAAAAAACAGAAAAAGGACTTAAATAGGTATTTCTCCAAAAAGACGTATAAATCACCAACAAGCATATGGAAAAATGTTTAAGATCAAAAGCATAATGAGTACCACTCTCTACAACCACTATGATGACTATTATGAAAAATAGCAAATATTGCTGAAGATGTAGAAAAATTGGAAAGAACACTTGTATAATAATAGTGGGGATGTAAAATGATTTAATTACTGTGGAATTCAGTGGTTCTTCAAAGAGTTAAACACTGAATTATCATATGACGCAGCAATTTCATTGTTAAGTATATACCCCAAAGAATTAAAAACTGGTACTCAAATACACATGTACATACATGTTTATTCCATTATCACAATAACCCAAAAGTGGAAATAGCATAAAAGTTACTATATGATCCTAGAATGGGAAGCAACTGCTTAATGGGTATAGATTTTTTTTTTTTTTTGGCACGGTACAAGGGATTGAATCCAGTGACACCTACCACCAAGTTACACCTATAGTTCTTTCTACTTTTGGGAAAGGATCTCTCTAAATTGCCCAGGCTGGCTTCGAACTTGTGATCCTCCTGCCTCAATTTCCTGAGCAGTACCTGCATGTGGCACTGTGCCCACTAGTCTGGTTTCTTTTTAGGATGATGAAAATGTCTTAAAACTAACAGAGATGGGAGCTGTATAACATGAGGGGAAGCATAACAACAAAATCAATCTACTAAATGACACTGAATTATGCATTTAAAAATGATCATTTTATGTTATGTGACTTTTAACTTCAAAAAGAAAAAAAAGTGAATGATTAATGTTGAGCTAGAAGGAAAATACACTGCAAGATATCTATTCAATGAAATATTATGCAGCTGGTTGGACAGGCCAAGGAAGCTAAAATAAGTGGTGATATGGGAATCTCTAAAATATATGTAATAGGGCTGGGGATGTGGCTCAAGCCTGGCATGCGTGCAGCCCGGGTTCGATCCTCAGCACCACATACCAACAAAGATGTTGTGTCCGCCGAGAACTAAAAAATAAATATTAAAAATTCTCTCTATCTCTCTCCTCTCTCAATCTCTCTTTAAAAACAAAAATTAAAAAAATAAAATAAAATAAAAAAATAAAATATATGTAATAAGTTAATAAAGTATACAACAGTATATATGGCATGTTGCCATTTGTCTAAAAAAAGGGAAAATACCTTTATAAATAGTAGTATTAGCTTGTACATATATAAGAAAGAACAATAACAACAACAAAAAAACCCCACCAGCCAGGTGTGGTGGTGTGTGCCTGTAAACCCAGCAGCTCGGGAGGCTGAGACACAGAATTGCGAGTTCAAAGCCAGCCTCAGCAAAGGCGAGGTGCTAAGCAACTCAGTGAGACCCCGTCTCTAAATAAAATACAAAATAGGGATAGGGATGTGGTTCAGTGGTTGAATGTCCCTGAGTTCAATCCCTGGTACCAAACCACCCCCCCACACACAAAAACAAAAATCCACCAAACCTCTGGAAAGAGACATAGAAATCTCTAGTATTGATTACTGATTTTTGAGGGAGGAGGCTTGGGGAGGTAGGTAGAGGAAGAACAAGAAAGAGGGAGGATGGGGTACTGGATTCAATTCTCGGCATCACACACACACAAAAAAACAAAATAAAGGTACTGTGCCCATCTACCAAAAAAAAAAAAAAAATCACGACTTAAAAGAGAGTGGTAGGGCACATGGCATAACAGAACTACCTTGCTTAGGATGAATCCTAGTTCTAGTACTTAGTTACTAAACACCTCAATTTCCTTATTTGTAAAATAGGGTACTTTCTCTCATAGGGTTTTTGGAGAAATAAATGAAAAAATAATGAGACTATGCATATAAAATTTTCAACATATGATAGTTTCACTAAAACTAGTAGCTCCTATTAAACCAATTTAATTTTTCTTTCTTTCTTTCTTTCTTTCTTTTTTTTTTTTTTTGCAGCACTGGGGACTGAACTTGAACAGGCTAGGCTCTACCACTAAGCTACACACCCAGCCCTGTGTGTAGCTCCCATCTTAATAAAGGGAACACAAGAACAAAGTACATAGATGAGGATGGCCTGAATCAAGAAGAGGATTCTTGTCCAGAAATTAGAAGACAAGGCAGAAAAAAGCAGATGGGGTCTACATTATGGAGAGACCTGATGTTAACCCAAATTCTGAATTTTAGAATACAAGCTGGGAGTCCCTCAGTCTTGCACTGACAAGGAGCAACTGTGTTACACATAATAGATGGACAGAAGACTGGAGGGTGAAGAGATGAGATGACAGTCCTGCTTAGAAGTTCCAGAGATCAGGGCTGGGGTGGTGGCTCAGAGGTAGAGTGCTCGCCTAGCATGCATGAGGCACTGGGTTCGATCATCAGCACCATGTAAAATAAAACAAAATAAAGGTATTGTGTCCACCTACAACTAAAAAAAAAAAAAAAAAGTTCCAGAGATGAAAAGCATACCAGTAATCCCCAAGATGCACATTGTCCAAGTCCACTGGATTTCCATGCTGTGAAATGTCACTAAGAATTCAATCTGTTACTGCAAAGCTTTCCAGGGTTTCAAATGCCTATAGGCTGATGGACTGTCATTTTACTTCTTTAAGACATCATAGTATGAGCAAGAGAGTAACACAAACAAGTGTTTTAGAAAGATTAATCAATGCAGGATGAAATAAAAGGCTTATTCAAGAATTAGAAAGTTACACACAAATAACTTGAGTATGGTGATAAAGAAAATAAATTAGTGTGGTAATAAAGAAATTAAAAAGAACAGGAAGACTAAAAGGTATAATAAATTTGAAGAAAAAAGGCAAAGAACTTCTTATCTGATTGGAGTTTAGTTACCCTTAGAAGCTGGCATCAGAGGTCCAAGGACTGCTATGTGATCTCGATCCAGGACAGTGAGTGCAATACCACTTCGAGAATTATCAGACACAACAGCTTTAAGCAACTGTGATTTAACTACCCTCTGATTTTTTTCTGTGTCACTTGGATATATTGGTATCAAGCTTTCATATATACATCCATCAGAGCCTGTTGGAAACAAGTATTAGAGGTTCATAGGGTAAAGGATAGTTCTTTATCTGTTATAATTTAATGTACTAGGTTGTTCCTAACATTTTAACAATTTGATAAATAATCCATCATTCTGTGCTTTCCCATAAAAAATAACTACAACCTTCAAATGGGGAGAGGGGTATTAGTAATAATAATAATAAAAAATCACAGAAAATAATATTATAATGTTATAATAATGAAGAAATAAAAACTGAAAATAGGGCTCAGCGGTAAGGCACATGCCTAGCACATGCAAGGCCCTGCGTTCCATCCTCATCACCACATAAAAATAAATAATAAAATAATGTCCAACTAAAAAACAAAACAAATCTGAAAACACATGCAATAATTTAAAATATGGGGAGAGGTCTACCAGGAATAAAGACAATCTAGTCAATAAGAGATATCTCTGATTAGGAAAAATAATTTTTTTTTT